GTTTGTGAATTGTAGTATCATATTGGTATTATTTTTCTAAATACTCTACAGTTCTTTGATAAATGAATACTGCACTAAAAACACGGTATCTTTACGTGTATTAATTTTTGTTCGTGATGCCCGCATAACTTCATCTAACTCAATAACAGATATAGTATGTATTGTTACTTTCAAAAGTTCGCAAACTTTTACACATTATATATATATAAATAATATATATAATATATATAAATAAAATATAAAATATATATAATATATATAAATAAAATATAAAATATATATTTTATATTTTATATATATATATGCGTTTGCGTGTGTGTTATATAAATAACATAATGGTAATATAAATACGTTTCTGGTTTTGTTAATGTTAACATATCCCTATGTGGTTCACTTTCCTCGTCACTAATGAAATATTTAAAAATATTTGTGTAATAAATGAGTCTACCGATCGGATAGATCGGGATGGGGATCCGAACCCGGATCTTTCACTTGCCGGACGACTACTGCTTTAACCAATTAAGCTATCCCAACCGACCGAGGACTTATTCTCTTCCAGTTCTTATAAACCAAAGACCTAAGAAATGCTGACTCCTATACAATAGATGAAATTACACTTGATCTTTTTATGTATAATAAACAATTTAAATATGCGCAGTTTAACAACAGATTGGTTTAACATAACCTCGCAATCATTTTTCCACCATTCCTACCAGAAGGTCTCAGATAGCCAAAAAGCTGACCTATGCATCGTCATGTGACGATCTAGTGTTGCTACATCTCCCTTTAATCTCGCCTCTTTACTCTACTTATATTAGTCGCCCCCATTAATCCAATTTCAGTTTGTCGACGTATGCGTGCCACGGGGCAAGGAAAAGGACAAAGATATTCCCCTCGTGTCAACAATTTTCAGGCAACACTGGATTGGAGGCGAAGACGAAAAACAATCTGCGCAGCAACAATTATCTGCAGACAGAATAATATTGTCCGACAAAATCAAACTTTTTTTCTGATTTCCTATAGCCACTATGAAATTCTTGTAGAGCTTCACTCTCCGAACAAGAATCCGAAAACCGAATTGCTCCATCACCCTTAGTTTTTGAAAAAAACGAACTTTTGTAAAAACCTAAAATTGTCGACAAAAATGAGGTATTGCATGAAAAGTACAAACGTTAGAAGGTTCTCTAATCGGTCTTAAAAGATAGAGGAAAGTTTTTCGAATATAATGGAATACAATTTATTAATTGTTTTTGGTCTTAAATAACTATAAATTAATGTCAAAGTTTAAAAAAGTGTCGACGTGCGCAGTTTCTCCGCAATATTTCTGTATTTTTACGAAAAGTTCTTTGTTCAGCACGGAAACTCTACCCAGGATCGAATTCTGTAGACATTTCTGAANACTAAGTAGTGTAGAGAAATTTATGTTTCCGCGATATTAACAATTGCGAAACACTCTGTACAGAATATAAGTAAATTAAAGGAAATTTCATGAAAAGATAGAAAATAATAAAATAATACGAGACAATAAAAGATCTTGGAGTGACGTGAACAGACATATATACCTCTTCAAATATATCTCAGATCACACTGTCCGATAAAATCAAACTTTTTTTCTGGGTTCCTATAGCCACTATGAAATTCTTGTAGAGCTTCACTCCTTGAACAAGAATCCGAAAACCGAATTGCTCCATCACCCTCAGTTTTTTAAACTGAGTATTGCATGAAAAGTAAAAACGTTAGAAAGTTCTAATTGGTGTGAAAAGATAGAGGAGAGTTTCCCGAACATAGTAGCATGCAATTTATTAATTGTTTTTGGTCCTAAATAGCAACAAATTGATGTCAAAGTTTAAAAAAGTGT